TAGCTCACCATGTTAACGAGCTCAATATTGCTCCCCCTGTTCACGAGCTCAATACAGCTCCCAATGTTAATTTAAGTACATTACTGCTCACAATTTACCTAGAGTAACTCCACTAAGAATTAGTGAGTTATAACAATTAGCTTAGTCCTCTACTTAGGTAGGTTAGAAATTTAAACCATTTATTTAGGTAGGTTTAGGGACTTTAGTTAGTGTCAACTGAGTTATAGCCTAGTCTGTACTCACAAATAATTACAGTTGACTATACTTAAAGAGACTGATTTAATAAACTCAATTTTCATTTAAAGGTTGATATTGTATTAATGAGTTTACAGTGTCAAGCCTATGAGCTACAATTCAATTAGCTCATGAGTCAGAATGACTAGGCTGCTAATCTCACTGTCGACTCAGAATCTTCCTTGATTTTAATGAACAAACCTTTTCAGTTCTCTAATATTACACTATTTTAGCAAGTTAGCAACTTAGTTATACCATCAGTCAGAATGACTACTGCACTGCAGTGCATATTAAATTAAATTTCCTCATTTGATTTTGGGGTGATCATGATGCTCCGTGATGTTATTGTCTAGTAACTCAATAGTTACAAGTCACAGCGACCCTAGACAGTGACCTTACTGTAGTGTCAGAGTCTCCTTGATCTTGAATGACCCAATAATACTTTACTGTATAATAATGTAGAATACAACTTATACAATAATGTTATCAGTTCTTTGGAACTTTTTCTGAGTTTACCTACAATTCAACAACTACGTAATACAACCTTTACATGTCACTGCGACCCTAGTTGTTGAGTTTATTGTAAACTTTAGAGAGTTCTTGATTACAGATAACTTAATCATTTTATATTTCAATGTTTAATCCATGATTTCCATTTAACATGAGTTCCTTTACAAGACTTAAAGTCTTGTATGTCCTTGACAATTACGGGACATCCGTTATGTGTGTACTAACGTACTAACATATTAACATTAATACTAACTTCGGGATAGGTACGTCAGTACTCAACATTGCACTGCGACCCAAGTTTTCTCCCCCCGGAGTTATGTTGGAAATTTCCAACACTAATAAACTACTATTGTATTATAATACATCATCATCATCATATACTAACTACAGTAGTTACTAATTTCACTAACGGTAGTGTTAACATAAATTAACACTTTTATCTGCGCATTAGTGCTAGAATTCTCACGAAATCGAGTAACAAAATTGTGTCAGATAATGTCCAGTTAGACACGTTTATTACCAATGTGTTAGAGAATTGAATGTGGTTCTCTAAAATTATCAGTATTCCGTGTAATAATTACCTACGGATAATATGACTCCCAATAATCTAAAACCGAGAGTTATTAACTGAAATTATTATCAGTAGCAGTTTTATCTGTTACGTACGAATGCTATGGTGAGAATAAAAATCTTCTCCATTTCTCGTTTAACACCATTAAACGAGAATATGATAATATTTAAGTCCCTATAATTGCAACCCAGTTCTCATTAGTGTATTACATCCATAATTACGCGGAAAAGAATTATCCGTAATTAATAATTTCTGTGGTGAATGCGAGAGACGGGTTGAGGGAGGGCGGAGACGCCATTGCACACGAGGCATCCCTGGCGATAAGAGTGGCGAGACACGTGGTAGTGACTGGGGAGTTTTTATCGACAAGAATTACGTTGATACCCGTTCAATAGTCAACAATTACTTATTCACGTGTTCTATAGTGCCCAGCCAGTTAATAACGTGTCAACAATTGAAGCCACGACCCGTAATTATGCGTACACAGCAGTGAACGTCTGGGACTGGCTGATGCGGTTTTGGCAGACCTTAGTATTTGATACGCTCATATTATGTATACCATTCTCGTTTGATGCATCATCCTAGATTGTATATTTGTGGGTAGTCTGTCGTGATACCGAATGGATACCTAATACACAACGTTAGTTGATTTTCCACATATTCTCAGTTTTCATGAATATTTGAAATAATTCGTAGCCTAATCAAATGCTACTTAAATTTCTCTGATTTCAGCGTGTATACGAGGAGTCGACAAGTTGTTTCTCTTCATTCGTGATATTCACCTCAGGTTCTTTCTTTATTGGGATCCTGTGACCACGAGGACGAATGACGAAATGGCGTTACAGAAATCGTCTTACAGCTAAGACATTTTTTTCGTACAAATTTATCTAAGATTATTACAGATTTCCATATAATTCACATAGGTTCTTTACAGTGAATAATTTATTGCCAGAAATTATGATTTGCTAATTAATATGTTTGCTCTTACTGTTGCTCAATAATTCATAATCTTTAATATTCATAATTTGAGTTATCATATCTTTGAATCTATCTTAGTTTAGATTTACTATGTTACTAACTCAACAATGAACTAGTGATAAACCACACTGGTTCCTAGATATATATGAACTTCTAGAAATACCCCCCCCCCAATGTTGATATTTGGGGCTTTATCTTTAATTAATTAATATTACAGTCTATTTATTATTTTCACGTGATTATTCTTTTAATTAATATCCATAGACAAATAATTCAAATAATTGAATATATGAGTCAAGCCCCAGAAATCCAACACCTGGCTACTTCCCCCCCCCCCCACTGTACCTCCAGACTAGTACCCCTCACCCAGTTACTTCCCCCCCCCCACACTGTACCTCCAGACTAGTACCCCTCACCCGACTACTTCTCCCCCCCCACTGTACCTCCTCCAGACCAGTACCCCTCACCTAACTACTTCCCCCCCCCCCGCACTGTACCTCCAGACTAGTACCCCTCACCCGACTCCTTCCCCCCATCCACTGTACCACCAGACTAGTACCCCTCACCCGACTACTTCTCCCCCCCCCCCCCACTGTACCACCAGACTAGTACCCCTCACCTGACTACTTCTCCCCCCCCCCCCTGCACATTTGTCTCCTCGTCGCTCCTGGAGCATTATGAGGACCCGGAATATGAGTGAGAGCCTCATTACTCCCCATAATGTGCTGTTGTTTACACGGAAGTTATGCGCGCCTCACAACACGGGCGGATTTGCAATGTTCCTCACTGCTCTGTTTTCTCCAAGAGATCACTGTCTTCTAATGACATTTTAACTGTCCTTTCCGTCCCCTGTCCCAGAGAAAGAGACGGGGGATGTATATGCAGATGACGGGGCATCAAGGAAGACTTAGGGACATGTAGTGCTGTAGGAACAAGCGAAGATGTGCTACATTACTTGTAGGGATTATCCCCATGACGTTTTCTGCTTAGATATTCCGTTGCAAAATGTGTTGAATATTGCAAGATATTCTTGGAGCACTGCAGTCTTAAATAATGTGCTGTTTCCTTCACTGCTCACATGTATACTTGTCATGAGTTATATGAGCCTGTCACTGTTTAAGGGTAGAGTTATCATGAGTTATATCGGTCTGTCACTGCTCAAAGGCAGAGTTATCATGAGTTATATCGGCCTGTCACTGCTCAAAGGCAGAGTTATCATGAGTTATATCGGCCTGTCACTGCTCAAGGGTTGAGTTATCATGAGTTATATGGACCTATCACTGCTTAAGGGTAGAGAGTTATATGGGAGGAGCCTTGGGAGGGGGGGAGGTAGGTCAGGTGACTGTGGGAGGAGCCTGCAGGGGGTAGGTCAGGTGACTGTGGGAGGAGCCTGGGAGGGTGGGCAGGTGACTGTGGGAGGAGCCTGGGGGGGGGGTAGGTCAGGCGACTGTGGGAGGAGCCTGGGAGGGTGGGCAGGTGACTGTGGGAGGAGCCTGGGGGGGGTAGGTCAGGTGACTGTGGGAGGAGCCTGGGGGGGTAGGTCAGGTGACTGTGGGAGGAGCCTGGGAGGGTGGGCAGGTGACTGTGGGAGGAGCCTGGGGGGGGTAGGTCAGGTGACTGTGGGAGGAGCCTGGGGGGGTAGGTCAGGTGACTGTGCGAGGACCCTGGGGGGGGGGTAGGTCAGGTGACTGTGGGAGGAGCCTGGGAGGGCAGGTCAGGAGACTGTGGGAGGAGCCTGGGAGGGAAGGTCAGGTGACTATGGGAGGAGCCAGCGGGGGGGGCAGGTCAGGTGACTGTGGGAGGAGCCTGGGGGGGTAGGTCAGGTGACTGTGGGAGGAGCCTGGGGGAGGCAGGTCAGGTGACTGTGGGAGGAGCCTGGGAGGGCAAATCAGGAGACTGTGGGAGGAGCCTGGGGGGGTAGGTCAGGTGACTGTGGGAGGAGCCTGGGGGGGGGTGGGCAGGTGACTGTGGGAGGAGCCTGGGGGGGTGGGCAGGTGACTGTGGGAGGAGCCTGGGGGGGGGTGGGCAGGTGACTGTGGGAGGAGCCTGGGGGGGTGGGCAGGTGACTGTGGGAGGAGCCTGGGGGGTGGGCAGGTGACTGTGGGAGGAGCCTGAGGGGGTGGGCAGGTGACTGTGGGAGGAGCCTGGGGGGGGTAGGTCAGGTGACTGTGGGAGGAGCCTGGGGGGGTAGGTCAGGTGACTGTGGGAGGAGCCTGGAGGGGGGTAGGTCAGGTGACTGTGGGAGGAGCCTGGGGGGGGGGGTAGGTCAGGTGACTGTGGGAGGAGCCTGGGGGGGTGGGCAGGTGACTGTGGGAGGAGCCTGGGAGGGCAGGTCAGGTGACTGTGGGAGGAGCCTACGGGGGCAGGTCAGGTGACTGTGGGATGAGCCTGGGAGCCATATATTGTATAAAATATTCAGTATAGTTCTGTATATTTTCTGGCGACGAGGCACCAATGGAGCAACAATGGAACCCTTCCTACCACTCTCCGGAAGTCCCGTACCATGATGGTGGCCCTCTACTAATCGTCTTGTCCTGTGAAAATCTTCAAATTTATCTGTAATCGTAAAGCTACAAAAAAATCCCGCTTCTGGAACCTAATAAAATAGTTATATCAATTAAAATAATAATTGACAATTTTCCCAATTGAGAAATAATTAGCATTATCATAATTAACTTTATTAGCATATAAAAAAAATTACTTTTTGATGGCGTTCAACGCCACGCAACATCCCGGGTCATTAGCCAGACGACCATTAGCAAGATTACCAACTAATTATAATATAAACAAGTTGACTGTTATTGTTGTTGAACTGCTTAGTGCAGTCCTCGGTAATTACCCTGAACTGTTCATCACCCTGGGCCACAACACCCTCACTACAACCCCTTAATCATCACCCTGGGGTCACAACACCCTCACTACAACCCCTTGATCATCACCCTTGGTCACAACACCATCACTACAACCCCTGGATCATCACCCTGGGGTCACAACACCCTCACTACAACCCCTGGATCAACACCCTGGGGTCACAACACCCTCACTACACCCCCTGGATCAACACCCTGGGGTCACAACACCCTCACTACACCCCCTGGATCATCACCCTGGGGTCACAACACCCTCACTATAACCCCTGGATCATCACCCTGGGGTCAAAACACCCTCACTACACCCCCCTGGATCATCACCCTGGGGTTACAACACTCAGAACAACCTGTGGCTCATCACAGAGGCTCACAACACCCACAGAACAACCTCTGGCTCATCACAGAGGCTCACAACACCCTCAGAACAACCTGTGGCTCATCACAGAGGCTCACCTTTATATAATATTATATTATCGTAATGATCTATTATACGGAGCCGCTTAAGGCTTTAATCCTGTCACAAAATAATATTTAAAGAGTATTTGGTGTTTCATGCAAATGTGAACTATGGAATTATTCTCACTCTGGTAGCAGATTATTCCAGTGCTACGAGGTAGTGTGTGAGGTGGCCTCCTCTCCTCCTCATGTCCAGTGTTGTTTTCACCCTCACACCTCACACCTCACACCCCGCACACCTCACACAAGTGTTCACCCTCACACCTCACACACCTCACACCTCTCACACTCCTCACACAAGTGTTCACCCTCACACCTCACACAAGTGTTCACCCTCATACCTCACACAAGTGTTCACCCTCACACCTCACACAAGTGTTCACCCTCACACCTCACACAAGTGTTCATCCTCACACCTCACACAAGTGTTCACTCTCACACCTCACACAAGTGTTCGCCCTCACACCTCACACACGTTTTCACCCTCACACCTCACACAAGTGTTCACACTCACACCTCACACAAGTGTTCACACTCACACAAGTGTTCACCCTCACACCTCACACAAGTGTTCACACTCACACAAGTGTTCACCCTCACACCTCACACAAGTGTTCACACTCACACAAGTGTTCACCCTCACACCTCACACAAGTGTTCACACTCACACAAGTGTTCACCCTCACACCTCACACAAGTGTTCACCCTCACACCTCACACAAGTGTTCACCCTCACACCTCACACAAGTGTTCACCCTCACACCTCACACAAGTGTTCACACTCACACCTCACACAAGTGTTCACCCTCACACCTCACACAAGTGTTCACACTCACACCTCACACAAGTGTTCACCCTCACACTGTAACACGTGGGGGGGGGGGATCTGAATTCTCCACCCGTATTCTGATTTAACTTCTCTTCAAACCAAGGGACCCCAGAGCTAACCGAATCCCACGCCACGTGGTCTTAAGCCGTTTTGACCGGCTAAGATTCTACAGCCTTTATGACGTGGAACCAGACCGCTAGCAAACTCTAGAATCACCTTACGCCGCCATTACCAGACCATTAACACTGGGGAGCAATAACCAAGGTCTGGATCGATTATGCTCTCAATAAACCCTGGGGCTTGATCCCCAGCTAGTTGACATGGGAGGGATGAATCTACGTTAAGTGTGGAAATAATAACACTCAAAGGGATACTGAATTCTTAATCGGTGTTAGGCTCTGCGGCCCAACGAAACTCGGCCTCGTGGGAGCCACGTGTCCAGAACAATGTATAATAGAACATAAAATGGAAATTAATAAAAAGGAAATTTACTAACTAAATGATTTGGTTTCAATATGAACATTTGGTGCAAAAGATAAAGTTGGCTCTGAATTCCTGTATAAAGAAAATCAAAGACACTTGGGTTTAAATGTTGAAAAGTTGAAAAACAGATTTAATATAGATATTATTCTGGTATAATGATATATGAAAATTCTACTTTATAAATTGGTTAGTAATTAAAATCAACGCCTCCTGTGTGATTGTCTTACGCCCAGAACAAACGGTTATGGAAAATTATATGGGCTATTTTTTTCAGAATGTTTGAACACAGGAGAGGCGGACCAATAAAAACATTGACACTCTTACAGTGAGTGCGAACACTTAGCTGTACAGTCACCTGAAACCTGTTATATAGTTATAGTAGATTTTTTTATTTTTTAGATATATGTAATAAAAACTAGGCGTGTTTTATTAGAATGTCAAGGGTGACATTGCTTGGGGAGTGGATAGTACACGGATGTGAACTTAGTAGAGTTCAATGGTACGCTCCAGGATGACTGAAAGTTCAGTCTGTAGATATAATGTTATGTTTAATGTTGAGCATGGTGTGTCCGGCTCCTGGGGACACATGAGGCTGGCTAGTGAAGAGCCAAGGAATTTTAATAGCTAGTCTTTGCTGTTAGATTAAGGTTGTTTTATTTAGCTTTGTCAGTAAGTGTAGGATGTATGTTTCCTGTTGTTGGAGGATTGCTGTCAGTTGACAGCCGAGACATTGATGAATTTGAACATGTTTATTGTGATGTTGCTGGACAATCTAGTGATTGTTGACCAGACCACACACTAGAAATTGAAGGGACGACGACGTTTCGGTCCGTCCTGGACCATTCACAATCGACTTGAGAATGGTCCAGGACGGACCCAAACGTCGTCGTCCCTTCAATTTCTAGTGTGTGGTCTGGTCAACATACTTCAGCCACGTTATTGTGACTCATCGCCTGCAATCTAGTGATTGTTATTTTCTTAATTAGGTTAGCTTTTGTTTGCGGCATAAGTTTGAGTTTATTGAGGGTTTGGATACTAAACCTCGTTACTTTTAAAAGGAAAATTAACAAGGTTTACTAAGTTGCTTGTGCGGGGGGGGGGGGGGTTGTAACAAACTAGGTTGTTGTAGGAATTATCCAGTATGTTCTCTCTCAGACATGGGAGTTTGGAAAGTTGGGGTCACGTGTAGTGACCCGACTCTGGGAATACGGGGCATCCCCTGGGAATTAGCGGCCTAGGGCCACAAGAGGGCTGGCGCCTTTGTCTCATAGTAACGTATAATGAATTATTTTACAGAATTCAGTAATTTAGAGAAATTAGTCTTCATTCATATTGTATTCATACATATTCAATAGTATCTCTGTTTAAAGTATCAAGAGTATCCTAAATTGTCAGGATAATGAGTAAGTCACCATCAGTGACGTCACGAGCCGGGACAAGCACTAGGCGCGGAATGACCCTGACGACCTGGAGGTCACGGGTCATCAGAGTTTCCACAGTCACTAATTCTCAAAGGTAAAGTAGCCATTTTGTAATCGGAAATAGCGCTTCCCTAAGATGCCTGTGTAATTACCTTCAGTAAAAAAAAAAAGAGTCCAACCATCTTGGTCGTTCAGTACAACAGAGGTTAGTTGTTCAACTTAAACCCTACGAGTAAACTTAGCAAGCCAGGCGTAGGGATACCCATCTGGGCTTCTGTGTTGAGCAGAGCGAGGGAAGAGCATTGTGGAGAAGGCAACGACTCGGGAAGGTGACCACTCCACCTCGCCCAAAAACCAGCACGACACCAGCTGGTCAGCTATACGAGGTAGAGTTGCTATAAGTTTGGTAAAGGAAGTTAGTCATCAACAGTCTCCGTGGTGTAGTGGTAAGACACTCGCCTGGCGTTCCGCGAGCGCTATGTCATGGGTTCGTATCCTGGCCGGGGAGGATTTACTGGGCGCAATTCCTTAACTGTAGCCTCTGTTTAACGCAACAGTAAAATGTGTACTTGGATGAAAAAACGATTCTTCGCGGCGGGGATCGTATTCCAGGGACCATAGGATTAAGGACCTGCCCGAAACGCTACGCGTACTAGTGGCTCTACAAGAATGTAACAACTCTTGTATATATATATCTCTCTCTCTCTCATGCCTTAAGACAGGGAGTGTTCAGCCAGGGAGTGCTTTGAATTAGATTTTGTTTTAGTTTTTGAATAAATCATTAAGTTAGTAAATTGCCTTTTTATTAATTTCCATTTTATGTTCTATTATACATTGTTCTGGACACGTGGCTCCCACGAGGCCGAGTTTCGTTGGGCCGCAGAGCCTAACACCGATTAAGAATTCAGTATCCCTTTGAGTGTTAACATTTCCACACTTAACGTAGATTCATCCCTCCCATGTCAACTAGCTGGGGATCAAGCCCCAGGGTTTATTGAGAGCATAATAGACCCAGACCTTGGTTATTGCTCCCCAGTGTTAATGGTCTGGTAATGGCAGCGTAAGGAGATTCTAGAGTTTGCTAGCGGTCTGGTTCCACGTCATAAAGGCTGTAGAATCTTAGCCGGTCAAAACGGCTTAAGACCACGTGGCGTGGGATTCGGTTAGCTCTGGGGTCCCTTGGTTTGAAGAGAAGTTAAATCAGAATACGGGTGGAGAATTCAGATCCCCCCCCCCCCACGTGTTAAAACACCTCACACACAAGTGTTCACACCTCACACAAGTGTTCACCATCACACCTCACACAAGTGTTCACCCTCACACCTCACACACAAGTGTTCATCCTCACACCTCACACACAAGTGTTCACCCCTCACACCTCACACACACAAGTGTTCAAACCTCACACCTCACACAAGAGTTCACCCTCACACCTCACACAAGTGTTCACCCTCACACAGAAGTGTTCACCCTCACACCTCACCCATGTGTTCACCCTCACACCTCACACAAGTGTTCACCCTCACACCTCACACAAGTGTTCACCCTCACACCTCACACAAGTGTTCACCCTCACACAAGTGTTCCCCCCTCACACCTCACACAAGTGTTCACCCTCACACAAGTGTTCCCCCCTCACACCTCACACAAGTGTTCACCCTCACACCTCACACATAAGTGTTCACCCTCACACCTCACACACAAGTGTTCACCTTCACACCTCACACATAAATGTTCACCCTCACACCTCACACACAAGTGTTCCCCCCTCACACCTCACACAAGTGTTCACCCTCACACAAGTGTTCCCCCCTCACACCTCACACAAGTGTTCACCCTCACACAAGTGTTCCCCCCTCACACCTCACACAAGTGTTCACCCTCACACCTCACACAAGTGTTCACCCTCACACCTCACACAAGTGTTCACCCTCACACCTCACACAAGTGTTCACCCTCACACCTCACACATAAGTGTTCACCCTCACACCTCACACACAAGTGTTCACCTTCACACCTCACACATAAATGTTCACCCTCACACCTCACACACAAGTGTTCCCCCCTCACACCTCACACAAGTGTTCACCCTCACACAAGTGTTCCCCCCTCACACCTCACACAAGTGTTCACCCTCACACAAGTGTTCCCCCCTCACACCTCACACAAGTGTTCCCCCCTCACACCTCACACAAGTGTTCACCCTCACACCTCACACAAGTGTTCACCCTCACACCTCACACAAGTGTTCACCCTCACACCTCACACAAGTGTTCACCCTCACACCTCACACAAGTGTTCACCCTCACACCTCACACATAAGTGTTCACCCTCACACTTCACACACAAGTGTTCACCCTCACACCTCACACATAAGTGTTCACCCTCACACCTCACACACAAGTGTTCACCCTCACACCTCACACATGAGGTACTTGCAGTACAAGGAAAGAGCAGGACAAGGAAAGAGCAGGTCAAGGTAAGAGCAGGTCAAGGTAAGAGCAGGTCAAGGTAAGAGCAGGTCAAGGTAAGAGCAGGTCAAGGTAAGAGCAGGTCAAGGTAAGAGCAGGTCAAGGTAAGAGCAGGTCAAGGTAAGAGCAGGTCAAAGTAAGAGCAGAACAAGGTAAGAGCAGAACAAGGTAAGAGCAGGTCAAGGTAAGAGCAGGTCAAGGTAAGAGCAGGTCAAGGTAAGGGCAGGTCAAGGTAAGAGCAGGTCAAGGTAAGAGCAGGTCAAGGTAAGAGCAGGACAAAGTAAGAGCAGAACAAGGTAAGAGCAGAACAAGGTAAGAGCAGTACAAGGTAAGAGCAGGACAAGGTAAGAGCAGGTCAAGGTAAGAGCAGGTCAAAGTAAGAGCAGGTCAAGGTAAGAGCAGGACAAGGTAAGAGCAGGTCAAGGTAAGAGCAGGTCAAGGTAAGAGCAGGTCAAGGTAAGAGCAGGACAAAGTAAGAGCAGGTCAAAGTAAGAGCAGGTCAAAGTAAGAGCAGGTCAAGGTAAGAGCAGGTCAAGGTAAGAGCAGGTCAAGGTAAGAGCAGGTCAAGGTAAGAGCAGTACAAGGTAAGAGCAGGACAAGGTAAGAGCAGGTCAAGGTAAGAGCAGGTCAAAGTAAGAGCAGGACAAGGTAAGAGCAGGTCAAGGTAAGAGCAGGTCAAAGTAAGAGCAGGTCAAGGTAAGAGCAGGACAAGGTAAGAGCAGGTCAAGGTAAGAGCAGGTCAAGGTAAGAGCAGGTCAAGGTAAGAGCAGTACAAGGTAAGAGCAGGACAAGGTAAGAGCAGGTCAAGGTAAGAGCAGGTCAAAGTAAGAGCAGGACAAGGTAAGAGCAGGTCAAGGTAAGAGCAGGTCAAAGTAAGAGCAGAACAAGGTAAGAGCAGAACAAGGTAAGAGCAGTACAAGGTAAGAGCAGGACAAGGTAAGAGCAGGTCAAGGTAAGAGCAGGTCAAAGTAAGAGCAGGTCAAGGTAAGAGCAGGACAAGGTAAGAGCAGGTCAAGGTAAGAGCAGGTCAAGGTAAGAGCAGGTCAAGGTAAGAGCAGGACAAAGTAAGAGCAGGTCAAAGTAAGAGCAGGTCAAAGTAAGAGCAGGTCAAGGTAAGAGCAGGTCAAGGTAAGAGCAGGTCAAGGTAAGAGCAGGTCAAGGTAAGAGCAGTACAAGGTAAGAGCAGGACAAGGTAAGAGCAGGTCAAGGTAAGAGCAGGTCAAAGTAAGAGCAGGACAAGGTAAGAGCAGGTCAAGGTAAGAGCAGGTCAAAGTAAGAGCAGGTCAAGGTAAGAGCAGGACAAGGTAAGAGCAGGTCAAGGTAAGAGCAGGTCAAGGTAAGAGCAGGTCAAGGTAAGAGCAGGTCAAAGTAAGAGCAGGTCAGTGCAGGTCTTAGCCAAGTTAGAGATCGAGAGACTGAGAGAGAATCCTCGAAGTGACAAGTCCTTCACTGAGAGTTAAGGACTTTACTGTGTTGTGAGGGAGAGTTCCGGGTCCTGATTCACCCTTCCTGGCCCTCTGAAGGCTGGTGGGGCTGGTGAGGGCTCCAGTGGTGGTGGTGCTGGTGAGGGCTCCAGATGCTGGTGGTGCTGGTGAGGGCTCCAGATGCTGGTGGTGCTGGTGAGGGCTCCAGATGCTGGTGATGCTGGTGAGGGCTCCAGATGCTGGTGGTGCTGGTGAGGGCTCCAGATGCTGGTGGTGCTGGTGAGGGCTCCAGTGGTGGTGGGGCTGGTGAGGGCTCCAGATGCTGGTGGTGCTGGTGAGGGCTCCAGTGGTGGTGGGGCTGGTGAGGGCTCCAGTGGTGGTGGTGCTGGTGAGGGCTCCAGATGCTGGTGGGGCTGGTGAGGGCTCCAGATGCTGGTGGTGCTGGTGAGGGCTCCAGATGCTGGTGGTGCTGGTGAGGGCTCCAGATGCTAGTGGGGCTGGTGAGGGCTCCAGATGCTGGTGGGGCTGGTGAGGGCTCCAGATGCTAGTGGTGCTGGTGAGGGCTCCAGATGCTGGTGGGGCTGGTGAGGGCTCCAGATGCTGGTGGGGCTGGTGAGGGCTCCAGTGGATGGTGGGGCTGGTGAGGGCTCCAGTGGGTGGTGGTGCTGGTTAGGGCTCCAGTGGGTGGTGGGGCTGGTGAGGGCTCCAGTGGATGGTGGGGCTGGTGAGGGCTCCAGTGGATGGTGGTGCTGGTGAGGGCTCCAGTGATGGTGGTGCTGGTGAGGGCTCCAGTGGATGGTGGTGCTGGTGAGGGCTCCAGTGATGGTGATGCTGGTGAGGGCTCCAGTGGTTGGTGGGACTGGTGAGGGCTCCAGTGGTTGACGGGGCTGGTGAGGGCTCCAGTCGTTGATGGGGCTGGTAAGGGCTCCAGTGGTGGCGCTGGTGAGGGCTCCAGTGGTGGTGCTGGTGAGGGCTCCAGTGAGAGCTCCAGTGAAGGCTCCAGTTGTCTATTGAGGGGAACTAAGATTGAGAAGTGTTGAGTCCCTTAGAGTTCCCCTCAGTCAATCTCACCAAGACATGGGGCTGGTGCAGGAGCGAGGGGAGGATTGGGGAGGGGAGATAACACAGCCAAAGTGGGACTTGTACCACTAGGCAAGTGAGGGAAGACCCGGGACAGTAGAGAGAGGTGAGGAAGGGAGAAAGAAGGTTTAGACGACTGCAGGCCATTGAGGGGAGAGAGAGAGGCGAGGTAAAAAGATAGTGAGGGCAGCCGAGGGGAGAACTTGAGAGCATGTAAGGGGAAAGGAACAGGTAGGCGTTCAAGTCCGCTCCTCCAGCTGTTGGGCTCTATTCCTTCCCACCGTCCTACCCTAAATCTTTATCCTCACAAGAGTTATGCTGTCGAAATTGGTTAGCACTTTCTCCTGATGATGACCTTACCTATTAACAGCCAGCTACACTGAAGAGCCCATAACAGCCAGCTACACTGAAGATCCCGTAACAGCCAGCTACACTGAAGAGTCCATAACAGCCAGCTACACTGAAGAGCTCATAACAGCCAGCTACACTGAAGATCCCGTAACAGCCAGCTACACTGAAGAGTCCATAACAGCCAGCTACACTGAAGAGCTCATATAACAGCCAGCTACACTGAAGATCCCGTAACAGCCAGCTACACTGAAGAGCTCATAACAGCCAGCTACACTGAAGAGCCCATAACAGCCAGCTACACTGAAGATCCCGTAACAGCCAGCTACACTGAAGAGTCCATAACAGCCAGCTACACTGAAGAGCTCATAACAACCAGCTACACTGAAGAGCTCATAACAGCCAGCTACACTGAAGAGCTCATAACAACCAGCTACACTGAAGAGCCCATGACAGCCAGCTACACTGAAGAGCCCATAACAGCCAGCTACACTGAGGAACCCATAACAGAAAGCTACACTGAAGAGCCCATAACAGCCAGCTACACTGAAGAGCCCATAACAGCCAGCTACACTGAAGAGCCCATAACAGCCAGCTACACTGAAGAGCCCATAACAGTAAGCTACACTGAAGAGCCCATAACAGCCAGCTACACTGATGAGCCCATAACAGTCAGCTACACTGAGGCGTCCATAACAACCAGCTACACTGAGGCGCCCATAACAGCCAGCTACACTGAAGGGCATATAATAGCCAGCTACACTAAGGCGCCTATAACAGCCAGCTACACTGAGGCGCCCATAACAGCCAGCTACACTGAAGGGCATATAACAGCCAGCTACACTGAGGCGCCCATAACAGCCAGCTACACTGAAGGGCATATAACAGCCAGCTACACTGAGGCGCCCATAACAGCCAGCTACACTGAAGGGCATATAACAGCCAGCTACACTAAGGCGCCCATAACAGTCAGCTACACTGAGGCGCCCATAATAGCCAGCTACACTGAGGCACCCATAACAACCAGCTACACTGAGGCGCCCATAACAGACAGCTACACTGAGGCGCCCATAACAGCCAGCTACACTGAGGAGCCCATAACAGCCAGCTACACTGAAGAGCCCATAACAGTAAGCTACACTGAAGAGCCCATAACAGCCAGCTACACTGAAGAGCCCATAACAGTAAGCTACACTGAAGAGCCCATAACAGCCAGCTACACTGATGAGCCCATAACAGTCAGCTACACTGAGGCGTCCATAACAACCAGCTACACAGAGGCGCCCATAACAGCCAGCTACACTGAAGGGCATATAATAGCCAGCTACACTAAGGCGCCTATAACAGCCAGCTACACTGAGGCGCCCATAACAGCCAGCTACACTGAAGGGCATATAACAGCCAGCTACACTGAGGCGCCCATAACAGCCAGCTACACTGAAGGGCATATAACAGCCAGCTACACTAAGGCGCCCATAACAGTCAGCTACACTGAGGCGCCCATAATAGCCAGCTACACTGAGGCACCCATAACAACCAGCTACACTGAGGCGCCCATAACAGACAGCTACACTGAGGCGCCCATAACAGCCAGCTACACTGAGGAGCCCATAACAGCCAGCTACACTGAAGAGCCCATAACAGTAAGCTACACTGAAGAGCCCATAACAGCCAGCTACACTGATGAGCCCATAACAGTCAGCTACACTGAGGCGTCCATAACAACCAGCTACACTGAGGCGCCCATAACAGCCAGCTACACTGAAGGGCATATAATAGCCAGCTACACTAAGGCGCCTATAACAGCTAGCTACACTGAGGCGCCCATAACAGCCAGCTACACTGAAGGGCATATAACAGCCAGCTACACTGAGGCGCCCATAACAGCCAGCTACACTGAAGGGCATATAACAGCCAGCTACACTGAGGCGCACCTAACAGCCAGCTACACTGAAGGGCATATAACAGCCAGCTACACTAAGGCGCCCATAACAGTCAGCTACACTGAGGCGCCCATAATAGCCAGCTACACTGAGGCACCCATAACAACCAGCTACACTGAGGCGCCCATAACAGACAGCTACACTGAGGCGCCCATAACAGCCAGCTACACTGAGGAGCCCATAACAGTCAGCTACACTGAGGCGCCCATAATAGCCAGCTACACTGAGGCACCCATAACAACCAGCTACACTGAGGCGCCCATAACAGTCAGCTACACTGAGGCGCCCATAACAGTCAGCTACACTGAGGCGCCCATAATAGCCAGCTACACTGAGGCACCCATAACAACCAGCTACACTGAGGCGCCCATAACAGACAGCTACACTGAGACGCGCATAACAGCCAGCTACACTGAGGCGCCCATAACAGACAGCTACACTGAGGTGCCCATAACAGCCAGCTACACTGAGGCGCCCATAACAGCCAGCTACACTGAGACGCGCATAACAGCCAGCTACACTGAGGCGCCCATAACAGACAGCTACACTGAGGCGCCCATAACAGCCAGCTACACTGAGGCGCCCATATCAGTCAGCTACACTGAGGAGCCCATAACAGCCAGCTACACTGAGGCGCCCATAACAGACAGCTACACTGAGGCGCCCATAACAGCCAGCTACACTGAGGCGCCCATAACAGACAGCTACACTGAGGCGCCCATAACAGCCAGCTACACTGAGGAGCCCATAACAGTCAGCTACACTGAGGCGCCCATAATAGCCAGCTACACTGAGGCACCCATAACAACCAGCTACACTGAGGCGCCCATAACAGCCAGCTACACTGAAGGGCATATAATAGCCAGCTACACTAAGGCGCCTATAACAGCTAGCTACACTGAGGCGCCCATAACAGCCAGCTACACTGAAGGGCATATAACAGCCAGCTACACTGAGGCGCCCATAACAGCCAGCTACACTGAAGGGCATATAACAGCCAGCTACACTGAGGCGCACATAACAGCCAGCTACACCGAAGGGCATATAACAGCCAGCTACACTAAGGCGCCCATAACAGTCAGCTACACTGAGGCGCCCATAATAGCCAGCTACACTGAGGCACCCATAACAACCAGCTACACTGGGGCGCCCATAACAGACAGCTACACTGAGGCGCCCATAACAGCCAGCTACACTGAGGAGCCCATAACAGTCAGCTACACTGAGGCGCCCATAATAGCCAGCTACACTGAGGCACCCATAACAACCAGCTACACTGAGGCGCCCATAACAGTCAGCTACACTGAGGCGCCCATAACAGTCAGCTACACTGAGGCGCCCATAATAGCCAGCTACACTGAGGCGCCCATAACAGACAGCTACACTGAGGCGCCCATAACAGACAGCTACACTGAGACGCGCATAACAGCCAGCTACACTGAGGCGCCCATAACAGACAGCTACACTGAGGTGCCCATAACAGCCAGCTACACTGAGGCGCCCATAACAGCCAGCTACACTGAGACGCGCATAACAGCCAGCTACACTGAGGCGCCCATAACAGACAGCTACACTGAGGCGCCCATAACAGCCAGCTACACTGAGGCGCCCATATCAGCCAGCTACACTGAGGAGCCCATAACAGCCAGCTACACTGAGGCGCCCATAACAGACAGCTACACTAAGGCGCCCATAACAGTCAGCTACACTGAGGCGCCCATAACAGACAGCTACACTGAGGCGCGCATAACAGCCAGCTACACTGAGGAGCCCATAACAGTCAGCTACACTGAGGCGCCCATAATAGCCAGCTACACTGAAGCACCCATAACAACCAGCTACACTGAGGCGCCCATAACAGTCAGCTACACTGAGGCGCCCATAACAGTCAGCTACACTGAGGCGCCCATAATAGCCAGCTACACTGAGGCACCCATAACAACCAGCTACACTGAGGCGCCCATAACAGACAGCTACACTGAGACGCGCATAACAGACAGCTACACTGAGGCGCCCATAACAGCCAGCTACATTGAGGCGCCCATAACAGCCAGCTACACTGAGGCGCCTATAACAGCCAGCTACACTGAGGAGCCCATAACAGCCAGCTACACTGAGGAGCCCATAACAGCCAGCTACACTGAGGAGCCCATAATAGCCAGCTACACTGAGGAGCCCATAACAGCCAGCTACACTGAGGAGCCCATAACAGCCAGCTACACTGAGGCGCCCATAACAGCCAGCTACACTGAGACCAGCAGAAAGGCTGTCATCGTAAAGTGCTGTTTTAAATTCATGAATTTCAAGAAAGTAAAACAGGAAATGAACTTTAATGGGATGAAAATAATGGATAATGAGTCCAGGAGAAGCTGTTGGTGAGGGAAGGTGAGGGAAGGTTAGGGAAGGTGAGGGTATGTGAGGGAAGATGAGGGAAGGTGAGGGTAGGTGAGGGTAGGTGAGGGAAGATGAGGGAAGGTGAGGGAAGGTGAGGGAAGGTGAGGGAAGGTGAGGGAAGATGAGGGAAGGTGAGGGAAGGTGAGGGAAGGTGAGGGAAGGTGAAGGAAATATTTAAGTGTAGTTGAGGTGAGGGTAGATGACACAGGGACTCCCTTAAAGGTAGATGACACAGGGACTCCCTTAAGGGTAGATGACACAGGGACTCCCTGAAGGGTAGATGACACAGGGACTCCCTTAAGGGTAGATGACACCGGGACTCCCTTAAGGGTAGATGACACAGGGAATCCCCTAAGGGTAGACGACACAGGGACTCCCTTAAGGGTAGATGACACAGGGACTCCCTTAAGGGTAGATGACACAGGGACTCCCTTAAGGGTAGATGACACAAGGACTCCCTTAAGGGTAGATGACACTGGGACCCCCAAGGGTAGATGACACAAGGACGCCCTTCAAGGGTAGATGACACAGGGACTCCCTTCAGGGTAGATGACACAAGGACTCCATAAGGGTAGATTACACAGGGACTCCCTTCAGGGTAGATGACACTAGGACTCCCTTAAGGGTAGATGACACAAGGACTCCCTTAAGGGTAGATGACACAAGGACTCCCTTAAGGGTAGATTACACAGGGACTCCCTTAAGGGTAGATGACAAAGGACTCCTTTAAAGGTAGATGACATAGGGACTCCCTTAAGGGTAGATGACACAGGGACTCCGTTAAGGGTAGATGACACAGGGACTCCCTTAAGGGTAGATGAGACAGGGACTTACTTAAGGGTAGATGACACAGGGACTCCCTTAAAGGTAGATGACAAAGGGACTCCCTTAAGGGTTGATTACACAAGGACTCCCTTAAGGGTGATGACACAAGGACTCCCTTAAGGGTAGATGACACAGGGACTCCCTTAAGGGTAGATTACACAGGAACTCCCTTAAGGGTAGATGACACAGGGACTCCCTTAAGGGTAGATGACACTAGAACTCCCTTAAGGGTAGATGACACAGGGACTCCCTTAAGTGTAGGTTACACAAGGGCTCCCTTAAGGGTAGATGACACAAGGACTCCGTTAAGGGTAGATGACACAGGGACTCCCTTAAGGGTAAATGACACAGGGACTCCCTTAAGGGTAGATGACACAGGGACTCCCTTAAGGGTAAATGACACAGGGACTCCCTTAAGGGTAGATGACACAGGGACTCCGTTAAGGGTAGATGATGTGGGAACCGACCTGTGAGATTTATATTTATTTAATTTATATGAATTTATATTTACGGTAATTTATATACTTCGATAGCAATTTGTATGATGTTAAGTGGACTGTATTTCTGCAATAATCTCATAATCTCACAAATCGATCCTCTACACATTAGGGGGGTTTATATTAAATTTATATATATGCAGCCAATCAAACTACAGTATTAGACTACATACATTGAAGAGGTTCCTTATCTTATTTGTACAGCAGGCCTTAGTCCACCAGGTATAACCAGGATGTAGACACCAAATTATCCTCTTTGAGGTAGCTTCCATCACCCAGTAACTGGTACACAAAGCATGCTTCCTCGTCTTGACCTGTCAAAAGGGCGCTAGCTGTAAAGCCAGAATCCTAATATATGACAGCTATATCAGAGAAAACACTGTACAAGGAACCATAAAGACCTGGCTTAATTACCTTTAGTATGAGGCGATCTCGTGCTCTAACTGGGTCACCCTATCTAATGATATTAATGGCCATAAATGATAGATAAATGGGTTTCGGCAGAACACTTAACTTGTATTTGTTGACAGCGTGTTGATGATGGTACACCTTTGGTTTCCATAACACTTCGTTCAAGTAAAATTAACAGGAGCCGAATTTCTCCCATGCCTCTGGTCTAATAACAATAACAATGGCTGACCCCTCCCTCCCAACTGACGCCACTGGCCTACATTGTCCAGATATCAGAAAGTGATAGAAGGGTCACATTTACTCTATTTTAATTCTGATAATTAAGTTAATTTATATAAGATGTTTTTATGATGGTAAAGTCCAAAGACTAATGTATTTAAGAATAATTCCCACCATAATAGGTGGTGAATTTATAATAGTATGTGGTAATGATATCCCGTTTTCTATAGACGGAAATTCCACTACAATTTACATTTTCTATGGGTAACTTGTTTATACAACACAGCAATATTATCTGTCTGTATGATATTATTAAATGGTGTCGGATTTTCCGACATAAGACACAGGGACTCCCTTAAGGGTAGATGACACAGGGACTCCCTTAAGGGTAGATGACACAGGGACTCCCTTAAGGGTAGATGACACAGGGACTCCCTAAGGGTAGATGACACGAACTCCCTTAAGGGTAGATGACACAGGGACTCCCTAAGGGTAGGTGACACAGGGGACTCCCTTAAGGGTAGATGACACAAGGACTCTCTTAAGGGTAGATGACACAAGGACTCTCTTAAGGGTAGATGACACAAGGACTCTCTTAAGGGTAGATGACACGAGGACTCCATTAAGGGTAGATGACACAGGGATCTTTTAAGGGTAGATGACACAGGGACTCCCTTAAGGGTAGATGACACAAGGACTCCCCTAAGGGTAGATGACACGGACTCCCTTAAGGGTAGATGACACTGGGACTCCCTTAAGGGTAGATGACACGAACTCCCTTAAGGGTAGATGACACAGGGACTCCCTTAAGGGTAGATAACACTAGGACTCCCTTAAGGGTAGACGACAAAGGGAGATCCCTTAAGGGTAGATGACACAGGGACTCTCTTAATAGTAGATGACACAGGGACTCCCTTAAGGGTAGGTAGTCAGCCCTCTCTGACCACCAGAGGAGGAGGGCAGCCCTTTCAGACCACCAGGGGAGGAGGGCAGCTCTCTCAGACCACCAGGGGAGGTAGGCTGACCTCTCAGACCACCAGGGGAGGAGGGCAGCCCTTTCAGACCACCAGGGGAGGTAGGCCGACCTCTCAGACCACCAGGGGAGGAGGGCAGCTCTCCCAGACCACCAGGGGAGGTAGGCTGACCTCTCAGACCACCAGGGGATGAGGGCAGCTCTCTCAGACCACCAGGGGAGGTAGGCCGACCTCTCAGACCACCAGGGGAGGAGGGCAGCTCTCTCAGACCACCAGGGGAGGTAGGCTGACCTCTCAGACCACCAGGGGAGGAGGGCAGCTCTCTCAGACCACCAGGGGAGGTAGGCCGACCTCTCAGACCACCAGGGGAGGTAGGCCGACCTCTCAGACCATCAGGGGAGGAGGGCAGCTCTCTCAGACCACCAGGGGAGGTAGGCCGACCTCTCAGACCACCAGGGGAGGAGGGCAGCTCTCTCAGACCACCAGGGGAGGTAGGCAGACCTCTCAGACCACCAGGGGAGGAGGGCAGCTCTCTCAGACCACCAGGGGAGGTAGGCCGACCTCTCAGACCACCAGGGGAGGAGGGCAGCTCTCTCAGACCACCAGGGGAGGAGGGCAGCTCTCTCAGACCACCAGGGGAGGTAGGCCGACCTCTCAGACCACCAGGGGAGGAGGGCAGCTCTCTCAGACCACCAGGGGAGGTAGGCTGACCTCTCAGACCACCAGGGGAGGAGGGCAGTTCTCTCAGACCACCAGGGGAGGTAGGCCGACCTCTCAGACCACCAGGGGAGGAGGGCAGCTCTCTCAGACCACCAGGGGAGGAGGGCAGCTCTCTCAGACCACCAGGGGAGGTAGGCCGACTTCTCAGACCAACAGGGAGGAGGGCAGCTCTCCCAGACCACCAGGGAAGGTAGGCCGACCTCTCAGACCACCAGGGGAGGAGGGCAGCTCTCCCAGACCACCAGGGGAGGTAGGCCGACCTCTCAGACCACCAGGGGAGGAGGGCAGCTCTCTCAGACCACCAGGGGAGGAGGGCAGCTCTCTCAGACCACCAGGGGAGGTAGGCCGACTTCTCAGACCAACAGGGAGGAGGGCAGCTCTCCCAGACCACCAGGGAAGGTAGGCCGACCTCTCAGACCACCAGGGGAGGAGGGCAGCTCTCTCAGACCACCAGGGGAGGTAGGCTGACCTCTCAGACCACCAGGGGAGGAGGGCAGCTCTCTCAGACCAGCAGGGGAGGTAGGCTGACCTCTCAGACCACCAGGGGAGGAGGGCAGCTCTCTCAGACCACCAGGGGAGGTAGGCTGACCTCTCAGACCACCAGGGGAGGATGTCGGAAAATCCGACGCCATTTAATGATATCATACAGGCAGATAATATTGCTGCATTGTATAAACAAGTTAACAAATAGAAAATGTAACTTGTAGTGAAATTTTCCGTCTATAGAAAACGGG